GATCGCTGCCATCTTCTGGGCCAGATGTGCCTGCCCTTCCGACATCCCACACTGTGAGCTTTCAAAGCTCAGGCTGTCGAACGCAGACACCACAGCAACCCACTCTGCAGTTGCTAAGGTAACCACACACTAATATAAGTAGCAGAGTGAAATTAATCAGGGCCTGTAACTTGGGTAACTTCCTCATGCACCAGTGTAGCGTCTTTCTGTGGTGACAACGTGGGCAAGTTCTGTGCTCTTATCCAACTTTGAGTGTGAAAAAAATCACCAGGGTGATGGCACTGAGTACACTGAGTTTGAATTGGGATGACCAAGTCCACGCAGGCAGATGAAGCCCTTGGATGGCAGGCAGGGGCCATTCATTCTGGGGATGAAAGATATCTTTGGAGAAGGGCAGATTTTGTCATCTGCTATCGGCCTTCTGTTTCTAAATCTCGATCCCATCTTCAAACTTGCAAGATAGTAGATTATGAGGCACTTTCCAGTCTGACCTAAACCCCACTGCCTGTGCTCTCTTCACAGCAGAGCCATGATGTGAAATGTTATTACGGACTTTCTTCTTCATTACCTTCTCCACTAGAATGTAAACCCCACTGGGGCAGGGACTTCATGGTTATATCCCCAGACCCCAGAACAGTGCCCGGCCCATGGCAGGCTTACAGATGCTTGTTGGAGGAATAAGTGAATCCACTGGCATAGAAAATGGCAATTGTTGAATTTTATAGATTGAGAGTCCCTTTGAAAGTATCCAGTTCAATCCCTGGATACGGCTGAGAGCATGAGAGACTTGGAGTCAAAAAGCCGGATTCAAGCCCTTCCCATGACAAGCATCTATGGGCCTCGGTGAGTTTTATATCCCAGCCTCAGTCTCCCTGCTGTGAAGGGATGTAACAGGCCTGGCCTCACAGGCCTCCAGAGGACTCAGCGAGAAAATCCATGTCAAAGTGTTGCTGCGGTTCTGCGAGGACGTGACGTGGCAGTTAGGATTTTAATGTGGAGAGAAAGAATCTGTCCACAAAAACCACGTGGCGGATCTGGCCCTTGTGGTCTACGAAGGGGGTGGCTTTTGGGGGCTCAGGTGTGTTTTATTTTGGTATTGAAACTATTATAAAGGGATTAGAATTGCATTTTTAAAAACTGCTCAATAATGGAGGTTTCAATATCAGCTACTTAGGAGGGAAAGGAAACAATTTTGGGGGGTGTACTATTTAATTTATGCAAATAAGTTATGTATGGAAGAATGTATGTTAACTTTTTCAGGACACAAGCCCAAAAGTCAACAGAAATTTGAATTTTTTTTTCTATCTTCATGCTGAAATTTAACTCATCACGAATTTGCTTTCGAGGGTGAAATTTTCTTTCCTCAACTTTTACGTGACTTTGTAGTAAGAGCAGTTGTATGGGTTCACAAAAATAAAAGACGGATGATGGAGCAGAGATGTTCAGCGTAAATATTTAGTACAGGGGCCGGCGGCTTTTAAATTTGCATCTTGAGCTCAGTGTATCTGCTGATTTCCCATCTGCTAATATTTTCCCATCTGCTAAATACCTGCTACCAGGGGAAGAGGCCGTCTCTGTCTTTCCCGCCCTGCTTAACCTCCATGTCCCCTTCACCTGAACTTGGAAATAGCTCCACTGTGTTGAGGAGAACACAGGCAGATACACTCCAGCTCTGACCAGTGGCAACAGTGATGACCCAGGAGCACCCCTGCAGAAGCTCAGTTAACCCAGGGGGCTCACCTTCCTCCAAAGGCCACCCCGGGGTCTCTTTCTGCCTCCATTGAGCTAGAAACCCAGGAAACAGCAGCTCTCTGGGGACCCAAGGCCAGCACTAGAGAAGAGGGTCTGTCTTTCCAATATCCACTGCAAACAAGATGGCCCAAACAGTGCACTTAGGAGCCTGCAGGCTTTGGGGTGCAGCAGCGGAGACGCTGCTGGGCAGTAGGAGGCCAGCAGAGAGGGTGGGCCAGGTCTCCCTGCTTCTGCAGTCACTCATGAAAGATCCTTGTGCTCAGCGAGGATTTGGCTTTGGAGACCAGGAAAGGACTGGAGCCTCATCCCCTCTCACACTGACTTCCTCCCCTGGGCTGCGCCATCTCCCAGACCAGGATGGGAGGTTGCCCGGAGCATAACGTCAGCACTGGCCCCTCCGCCCGGGGTCCCTCACGTGCTCACTCTGGCTCCAAATGGAGGCTGTGTTGGAGGCTGTGTGCGAGTTACGGAACTCACGCAGCCTCTGCTTGCAATTGCCACCAGGAAGAGCTGCCCCTTTTTCACTTTTAAACTCCAAGCAGGGCTTCAGAGCTCCCAGCCACTCCCTTCCAGAGGCCCCGGGAATGGCCAGCCGGGAACGCCGCTCTCTCTCCCGCGGCCACAGGAATGCCTGCTCTCCAGTGTCCCGACGAGCCCACGGGCAGGCCCGCAGGAACAAAGAATGAAATGGCCCCAAAGAGCAAGAGTTACATTTCATGCTTAAAATCAAGGCCATCCCAAGAGGAGCCAACCACGGAGTCACTTGATTGATGGCGGCAAATAATTATTCTCAGTGTTGCTGCGAGCTTGCCTTCGTAGAAAGCCAGAGATGAATAAAATATATGAGAGCACATCAAAATATAGTGCAAGGACAACATATACAAACAGTACATTAAGCATTATGGAAGACAATAAGGCGGAAAACACATCCGAGTTAGCGCTGGGCCCGGAATCCGTGCGCATCTGCGCGAATGGGAAGCAGCGCCACAGACGTCTCCGTGTGGCCCCTTCGGTCCCGGGAATATTTCATTAGTTGGAAAATCTGAGCAGATTAATTGCTACCGCCACCTCCTTCCTGAAGGACAGGTTCCTGGGTGCACAGCGCGGCCGCGGCTGCTCCTCTGCCGCCAGGCCCCGGGCTTCCCTCCACACGCAGAGTGCAGTGTCAACAGAAATGCTACAGTGACATTTCTCTCTCTCTCTCAATTACTTGTAGGCTTTTCACTGCCCGTATAAAATACATATTGTGCTCCAGCGAGATCCACTGTACCGAGGTCAGCGGGAACTCATTGTCCTTTTTAGCTCCAGAACAAGACAATACTGACATCTGTAAGATTTGCTGTAAATAATCCAAGTGCTATAGGTACCGGGTGAGGGGCAGGAGAAGGTAAAAAACAAAGGAGGAGGGAAGGCAAAGAGGAAGGAAGAGGGAGGGGGTGAGGTGGGGAGAAGGGGAGAGGGGAGAGGGGAGAGGGAAGAGGGAGGCAGAAAGGTGTTGAGAAATTTACTGAATGCTAAATCATTCCACATCCTGAATTTGTCTGGGGAAGGCTTCACCAAATCGTTTGCATCATTTCAGGGGAAAATAAATATTCGGCAAATACCTACAGGACAGCCTCGGCTTGGATGCCTACTGCAGATGGCCTCTGCTTCCGGGGCAGGATTCATCCTGCAAACCACTGCACCAGAGAGCAGTAGGTGCAGGGGCTGTGCCCAGCCCTCCAGCAGAGTCACACATGTGGCGCTCCGGTGCATGGCCTCGAATTCTAATTGGAATGGCAGAAGTCTATGATTCTGATTAAGTGCAATGGAGTCATTTACTTGACAATTCAAATCAATAAGTTAAAATGGGGTGGGGGTAGGGGAACAACCTGCACAAAGATTCCAGCAGCAGAAAGGCCTACTGGGTGCCGGCTTTGCCCCGAACGGCCTGCCTTTTAAGTCAGTGTGTGAGAAAATCAAAAGTGTATTTGACAACCAGTCAGTGAGAAGCTCTTCTCCGAAGGAGAGATTTTTCATGGAAAAGAAAATTTGGCGACAGGCAGGGGACTGTGCCTGGGATGACAAATGAGGGAGAGAAATTCTAATGGAGACTCCGTGCAGGCAGAAGCGAGACGCCTGGAAGCCCCGCTTATCTTTTTCTTCTCTACCGGTGCAAGAGGCAGAGACCGTGCATGCATGTGCGAGTGTGCATGCGTAGCGGGGAGAGACGGAGAGATGGAGCGTGTGTACATGAATGTGTAACAGGCTGAGACCAGGTGTGTGTGCACGTGTGTATAAGAGGCAGAGACCAAGCGTGTGTGTGTGTGCGAGCGTGCATGCGTTGTACTGGAGAGACACAGTGTGCACATGTGTGCATATGTGTGCCTGTCCCAACACGCTTCCCCAGTCTCCGGTTTGAGCCCCTGTCGGGGGTGGACAGAGAGAGAGCTGCTATGAACTTGGCTTCCAGCACGCACGGGGCTGCTTCTCTGGGTGGGAGGCAATCGCCACACTTACTCACGGGCAGTGCTGATGTTGAGGCTGGCCCAGCAATAAATTCATTTCCACTCAGGACTTTTACCCTTAAAGACAAAATCTCTTCAGCCTGTACCTTTTCCCTTCGGTCATATCCAGAAAAGTGAGCATGTGATTTCAATTTGAAATTAAAAGTCATGTCTGAATAACAGAACTGCATTCTCATTTCCTAATACCCTGGTTTTTACTACTTTGCATTCAACTGTGAAAAGTCTTTTAAAACTCGGAACAGCAGTAAAACTTGAATGAATTTTTGACCCATTATTGCATAGCGGGTGCGCCTTCCAAGTTGGAGAGACTGCCAAGTTCTCACCACCTAATATTTCCACTTTAATTGTGCCACTTGAGAAATTTACGTGCCTCAAAATATGGCATGAATCTTACGCTTATTGCAGTATCATTAGCAGCAACATTTAAGCAACATCTGTGTGCCATAGAACTAATTGAAGTAGCAGAAGTGGCAGCTGTAAATCCACAGGAAGATGGCAGTTTGTACCCAGCACTGCTGAGCTAGCTCCTAACTGTCAGCCTGTTCCTGCAATCTGCTCTCGAGTGCCGCGGTACAGGCACACAATGTCCAAAAAAATACAGCGAGAAGGCTAATGATCCTATTAACCACTTTGCTGCACCAATTTGGCTGTTTTTCCAGTTTCCTTGTTGAATTTCATTATAAATTTTGCCATTCCTGTAAAAAGTCCAGTATGAGACGTGTCTGACTTTAAACTACTTACCTGAGCCGAGAAACGCTCATCTGGCCAGGCCAAACCGAGGATTGATTTTTTTTGTTGTTGTTTAATAATTCTTCCCACCACACCCCCGCTCTTTTCAACTGCTTAAAAATTTTTCACACACACATTTCTGTAAAACAAAACAAAACAAAACTTTTAAATCTCTTATAATGTTGATATTTAAAGCAATGGCATTTTCTTCCCGTGGACATAACATTTTCAATAATCAATACAAGATGGCAGCCCTAATTTATTATTGGTGGGGAGCGGGGGAAGAGGGTAGGGAGAGTGAGGATCTCCCAGAGTTTGCTGAGGTGTAGATGTGGTCAGCTTATCTGAGAGCCTGTGTCATCCCTCCGCTACACAGTGGCTTGGACCCAAAAATGCACTGACTGTTTTTCTTCAATATGAAGAAAAATGAGGCTGATTCTCCCGCACAGAGTGCAAGCTAAGTTGGGAGCAAGGAATGACCCCGGTGCCTCTTGTTGCAGAGAAACAAGGGCTTAGCAGCCCCTGCTTTCCTTCCGAATATCCCCACATTGAGCACAACTGGAAAAAAACATTTCCAACACCTCCAAGAAAACCCAGCCCCATTTTGGTTTTAACTCTGCTTTTGCTCGTGTTTGTCTTGGCAGGGGATGGATGTTTCTCCCTTGGTGCCCTCAGACAATGATGTAACTGGTATCTTTTGAAGCACTCAAGAGTGCTGGAAATACACAAAAGAAGACCTCCTTCAATATACGATGACTGGTGTGTTTGCCAACAACCCAACTTCATTAGAAAATTGGCACGTCCACCCAGCTGCCATGTGACACGCCGTTAACTCCGGACATTTGTTGTCTTAATGCTCAAGTACTCAGGGACTCAACTGATAAGGGAGAAACTGTTTGGAATCCACTGAACCCCACGCCTAGGGTGGCCGCCACCTCACGGTATTGAAAATCAATAGCCACATGACTGCTGAAAGGTCGGAGGTCTCCAGAATTAACTTCCTAGTACTAAATTACTACCCCTTGTTTCTTGGTTTATTTTCTCACAATAATACATTTTAAGGGCGCCTGGTTAAAAACCACTTACGAAACACACAACGAAAAAAACGGAATCACTGGCGAACAGCTGCCAGTTCCTCCCCCCAGCCCAGGGAACATCAGGATGAACGATGCTGACAGCTCCCTCAGCCTGCAGCCGGGGGTTGTTGCCTCAAAAAAATCTCTTTCTTTTTTGGTGGTGGTGTTTTCATCTTTATGGAAAAGGGTAAGCTTGTTTGGAAGCGATCCACCTCTGACTTACCAAATAATGCAGCTTAGTAATACGTTGGGCACCACCCCTGCCCTGGGATGCTGCCTCAAATGCCATGTCACAGAAGGGAGACTTGGGAAAAGGCGATGCTTGTGGCATTTCATCAGAGTTGAGAAATAAACTCCTATGGCTAACCACGTGGCATCCTTTATTTTAATTTTTTAAAAAATTTTGAATTTCAATAGCTTTTGGGGTACAAGTGGTTTTTGGTTTCATGGATGAATTACAAAAGCCTGAGATTTTATCGCACCCATCATCCGAGTGGTGTCCGTTGTACCTAATGTGTAGTTTTTTTTTTTTTTTTTTTATCCCTAGCCCACTTCCCACCCTCCCGCTTCTGAGTCTCTAAAGTCCATTATATCACTCTGTATGCCTTTGCGGATTCATAGCTCCCACTTATCACTGAGAACGTATGGTTTTTAGTTTTCACTCCTGTGTTACTTCACTTCGAGTAATGGCTTCCAGCTGCATCCAAGTTGCCGCAAAAGACATTGTTTCATTCCTTTTAACAGCTCAGTAGGATTCCATGGTGTACAGACACCACATTTTCTTTGTCCGCTTATTGGTCGACGGGCACTTAGGTTGGTTCCGCATCTTTGGAATTGTGAATTGTGCTGCTATAAACATATGTGTGCAAGTATCTTTTTCATATAATGACTTCTCTTCCTAGATACCCAGGAGTGGGATTGCTGGATCAGATGGTAGATCTGCTTTTAGTTCTTTGGGATATTTCCATACTGTTTTCCATAGTGGTTGTACTAACTGACCTTCCCACCAGCAGCGCAGAAGCATTCTCTTTCCCCACCCATGCCAACATTTTTTTTTTTTTTTTTTTTACTTTAATAATGGCCATTCTTGCAGGGGTTAGGTGGTATCTCACTGTGGTTTTAATGTGCATTTCCCTGATGATTAGTGATGCTGGGCATTTTTTCATAGTTTTTGGCCATTTGTGTACCTTCTTTGAAATGTCTATTCATGTTCTTTGCCCACTTTTAAATCAGATTATTTGTTTTTTTTCTTGGTGATTTGTTAGAGTTCCTTGTAGATTCTGGATACCAGTCCTTTGTTGGATGCATAATTTGAAAATATTTTCTCTCATTCTGCAGGTTATCTGTTACTCTGCTGATTATTTCCTTTGTGTAACATCATTTTCTTTGGATGTAACTTTGGTATGAAATTCTTAAGCATGAATGTCCCCCACTGCCCTTTTTAGAACATGTGCTCTCTTCACCTTTATACTCATAAATATTGAGGTTGTCAATAATAGATATGTGGTTTCTGTCTGTTGATAGCATACTGGAAAATGAAACTGAGAAATAAAAAGTATTAATTTGTTAAAAATAACAAAACACCATTAACAAGCAGCATATATAATTTTAAAAACTGTATTTTCCATAGCAAAATAAATTAGTAAGAAGAATGGCATGGGTTTTTTTTTGTTTTTTTGAGACAGAGTCTCGCTGGAGTGCAGTGGCACAATCTCGGCTCACCACAATCTCTGCCTCTTAGGTTCAAGTGATTCTCCTGCCTCAGCCACCCAAGTAGCTGGGATTACAGGCATAACACCACCATGCCTGGCTAATTTTTGCATTTTTAGTAGAGACAGGGTTTCACCATGTTGGCCAGGATGGTCTTGAACTCCTGATCTCAGGTGATCGACCTGCCTCAGCCTCCCAAAGTGCTGGGATTCCAGGCATGAACCACTGTGCCCTGCCTTAACTATTTTTGAGAAAGGGTCTAGCAAACACCAGTCTCAGTAACCATCGTGCACCGGCGGGTCTTTTAATGTGAAGTTTACCGAAAGCGTGGCCTTTGGAAGGCCTGAAGGCTCCTTCCCAGGCAGCAGCGTCCCTCCACTGAACCCCTTCTTCCACGGGCTCTCCTGAGAATTTCCTCCCAGGCCTGAAGGGCTCTTTGGGACACTGGGTAAGTGATACTTCATAACTTTTGCCCTTTGCACCGGGTCCATGCACGAAGCCTGTGTTTGGGGTGAGGTTATCTATCTAGATACGCTGCATCCCATCTTGCTCGGCTGCAGATCTGAATACTCTTGGGGCCAAGCCTTGTTCTCCAAAACCAAGGCCCTGCAGGTAGGGGATCCCAAAGTCAAAGCCCTTGTGAGGTGGGGTTGGACTTGTTCTTGCCACCTGCTGACACATCTGGTCCTGCGAGAAGGGAGGTGGATTCTAGAAGCAGTGCCTGTTCCGGAGCAGCTGGCTTGCTGAGTGACAGGGTGCACCCAGCGGCAGCTGCGCAGCTTCTCAAGCTACCGGATGCTGCTCTTTGCCAAAGAGGACCTGAGGCTCCTCCCGGGACAGGCGGGCCTGGGCTCTGCCCACTGCTCCCGGTCACCCTCTGCCTCTGCACAGGGCATCCCAGGGCCTGTGGAGGGGACGTCCACAATGTTGGCAGAGCCTGGGTCCTTTGCCAGCTGGAGCTCTGCTCAGCCGCTGTGCCGGGAGGAAACCACCCCTTGCCCAGAGCTGGCTGGAGGGGTCAGCATGCACCGCTGCTGGAGTTACCCTCTGCACCAAGTGTCACCAGAAACGGGCACGCTGCTGTCCTGGACAGCGGCCTCATGACCTGCTCACATTTTTAAAAACTTGTGAAATATCTGATACAAATAAGCAAATATGCATAAAATACATATGAAATATATTCTGTAAAATAATATTTGACTCCAGTGCGCACACAACCCAATTCAAACCCAGATCAACTTCCCGCTGATCTGATGGCCTGCCCTCCACCTCTGCCCAGAGGGAACATTTGTTTTTATTGATCATTTCCTTGCATTTTAAAAGGATTTATCCTATATATGTGTATAATTGTGTGTGTACATTTGTTTCAAGGGATACACTTCTTGAAGGCTTGTCTGTGAGATGTATAAACTAGACTTCCACCACATGTAATCTCTCCTACAGCTTACTTGGTTGACCCTTCAAACTCTCAGCTTCATTCACGCTATAGCTTATGGCTCCAATTGTTCATGTTCTCAGCTGCATAGTATTTCATCACGTGAACATGCCACTATGCGTTTCTTCCTTTTTCTCCATACACATATTTGAGTTGATCACGGTTTTTCATAAACAGCTGCGCTGTGGATGGCACTCCCGCAGCTGGCGCCTGTGCACACGTGCAGAGCTTCTCTAGGGGAATGTGCTCGGGAGAGGAATGGCTGCTCAGAGGGCAGGTGTATCCTCACCTCCATGGGATGATACCAAGTGATCTTCCAACATCCTTCTTGGAATATTTAACCAGTGAGCTCTAAGTGTGCGTGGGTATTTGTAGGGGATCCAGGCTTGACTCTAGAATAAGGAAGGGGCGTCATTACCTAGTGGGATCAGCACAGATGTTGGGGTGATGGCTTCAGGCCCTAGTCTAGACTTCCTGGTGAAAAGTGAGGTGATTCTGGGGCAGCGGAGATACAGTATCTGACAGGATGTTGTGGGCGTCAGGGGTGTCAGTATATGTGGAGGTGCTCGATAAAGAGCAGACGTGTTGGCTTTTGTTGATGATGTTACTTGTTTCCTAAAACACTTGCTAAAGATGCCAGTGCCAGATGTAGAGGCCAACACGAGGAAAGCAGCCTGACAGACCACGCTGAGGTGTTCAGTCTGCAGAAGGGATACCCTCGAGAGTCCTGGGTCGATCGTTCGGGCTTGGCGGCAGCATGAGGAGCATAAAAGACTGAAATGAGTGGCTCCTAAAGGGTTCCTCCCCCAGTGCTGGACAGCACGGAGGTTCTCTCTCGGAACCAAGGCCTGGCCAGGCCGTGCCCAGCACGCCCACTACCTGGCTTTTCACTTCTGTTGTGACTTAGTTGTTTTCTGCACCATTTGGGCACAAATTCTGTTTTTTTTTTCTTCTTTGGGACAGTCTCACTCAGTCACCGGAGCTGGAGTGCAGTAGCATGATCTTGGCTCACTGCAACCTCTGTCTCCCAGGTTCAACCTATTCTCCTGCCTCAGCCTTCTGAGTAGCTGAGACCACAGGCGCATGTCACCACGCCTGGCTAATGATTTTTATTTTTAGGAGTAATGGGGTTTCAACATGTTGGCCAGGCTGGTCTCAAACTCCTGACCTCGGGTGATCCACCTGTCTCAGCCTCCCAAAGTGCTGGCATTACAGGCATGAGCCACCGTGCCTGGCCCACAATTTTTTTTTTTTTTTTAAATAACTCAAAACAGTTCTTTTCAGAAATGCTTTTCTCCAGCTGGTTTGTGAGAACCACATTCCTGCAAGGTTGGGACTGAACTCTGTGCCCCGGGCGGCTCCATCTACTCTGCCAACAGCAGCCCTCCAGCCTCTGCCGGAAGACGCAGCTCCCCATGCCAACACCCTGTAGACTCCTGGCCCCGTGGACTGTCAGGCAGTTATTCTGGCCTGGGATGTGCCTCTGTTAACTGGCTGCTGCTGTGTTTTTCCAGTTGTGGGAAGAGCTTCCAGGGGAGTTCTTCAGATAATCATCATCTTGATCTTAAATGTAAATATTGTCACCGTGGTTTAAAGAGAGATTAATGATTTGCCGACAGCTCCATACATCCTTAGGAAGTGAACACTCGATCGTCTATCTTATTTCCAATAATACTAGAGGAAAAGGCACACCCTACAGGTGGCTGCAGGCACCGCTGGAGCTCGGAGTGAGTGAAGGCCGAGCCTCGGACTCGGATATCATTTCTGAGCAGCTCGCCAACTGTGAAGGAACCTCTGTGGTTCTCTGTCACAGAGGAAAACAGCAGTGAGTGCCATCCACCAGGCTGTGTGCCAGGTGTCCCACAATCCCTTCTTTACCTTCTGGAGGAGCTGCGAGGCGGCGTCATTAGCTCCATTTCAGGGGAGAGAAGGTGGAGGGCAAAGCAGGTTTGCTGAGGCACGGCCAGTCACGGGCAGTGCCCAGAGCCAAACCCGGGGCTGGCCACATCCGGCTCTCCTGACCTCGGCCACCACCAGTTCGTGGAAGCCCAGCCCCTCCCAGGGGGAAGCTCCAGCCCTCAGGCCATCTCAGCACCTCCCTGTGGCTCCGACAGGCTCTGAGCCCACGGTCCCCTGCCCTGGGACCCGGCTGCCCCTGCCTCGAGGTCCCGGGGTAGCAAGGCAGGTGGCCCCTGGCTAGTTCCCTTCTTGTTGTCCCCCTGTGGCCTTCAGCCGGCAAAGCAGGGCAGGGTGTGTGGCCGGCAGCCCTGAGGCTTCAGTACGGTGTCTCACTTATGCCACCGCCTCCAAGACCCATCCCTCCTCAATGCAGCCAGGTCCGCAGCTCTACCAGGGACACTGCGACACTGTGCGAGCGTCAGTGCCGGGAGGACTGGGAAATTACACTCCACATCTGAATTTCTTGTATTTTCCAAGTGTTCTACACTAATTAGTTAGTTCTGTTAGCTCTAAGGATTAGTAGCTTCTCTAACAAGACACAGCGACATTAAGTGACTTACCTAATTATGTAAAACACGGGGACACCAGACGAGAAGGCAAGCTTTCCTCGAGCTGGGCTCAGGCCTGCTCCGCCCTGCTGCAGTGCCCATCGGTCCTCTGTTCTCCAGGTCCCCAGGGCACAGGAAACAGGCACTGCAGGTCTGGACTCAGAGACCACTCCACACGGAGTGTGCCCACACCTGGGTCCTCGGGCCTGCCCTCCTTACGGCCTGCCTCCTCGGCCAGGACCACAGGGCCTCTCGGATGCTTCCTGGACAGAGGAGCTGACTTGAAAGAGAGCCTGTCCCAGGGCAGTAGGTGCTGGGCAGGCCTGGAGGCTCCATCACATGTGGCTGGGGTGCTGGGCCCACTGTGTCCTCTGTGGCAGCAGGTAGACGACCACCACGTCCTGCTGTCCTCTGACTGGCCACCATCTGAAATGTCACTAAGAACTGGCCCCACATTGCATGTGCTCATGGCAAAGGGGTCTGCCATCTTCCAGTCTGGTCCTCCAGTCCCCTAGTCTCGTCTTGTAGGGGCCGTGGCACCTGGGCCCCTCCTCTTCTCTTCCCTAGAGTCCAGTTGCTTCTTTTACTCAAGATGCCCTCTATGTCCCGCCCAGCTCCAGCTGATACAGTTTGATTGCCACCTCCTTCAGGAAGCCCCTCTTGATTGTCTAGTTCACCCTTTCCCCTCCCTCTGAGATCTCACAGCCCTGAAGTGATACTGCATTTATGCTGATGTGCTATCTGATGACAGGCTGGGCATGACCTCACCTGGAGCATCTGCGCTCAGCCACCCCTGCAAGTGGAGGGGCAAAGCTGATAAACAGCTGGTCAGGCACGTGACACCAATCGCGTGGTCGGATGCACGGGCCCATGCTGTCTTCTCAGTACACGTATCAGGGTCCTCCCTCTTCATCCAGTAAGTGTGTTCTTTTATGATTACAAACATAATGCATTTCCATTGCAAAAACTGACAATATACAGTTAAGCACACACAAAAAAGAATTGACTTCTTCGTTCTAGGATAATTACTATAGCATCCTGCTCTGCAGACGGTCTTTTTAAAAAATGTTACAACATGGACATATATATAGTTTTAAAACAGAATCATGGATCATATTTTCAAAGTGATAACAACTATTTCTTTCTTAGAAAATAAATACAGACATTTTTATAAGAGTTGAATAACACTGAAAAGCAACACAACACACACACAGACACACACACACAGACACACTCACACACAGACACACAATCAAAGCAATTCTTCCCAACTCAGTCACACACAGGCCCACACACCAAAGCGACTCTCCGTGACTCACTCACGCATAGGTCCGCACACCAAATTCATTCTCCCCAACTCACTCACACATAGGCACACAACCAAAGCCACTCTCTCCAACCCTCCAACTTCCACTAAGATGCTTTCCTGCAGAGAATTTGATGATCTGTCTTCCACAATTTCATGTCTGTAAGCACAATTTAAACATTTTGTTTAATAAAACACCACTGATCGTACTTGATTTTTTTTTTTAAGACGGAATCTTGCCTTGTCACCCAGGCTGGAGTGCAGTGGTGCGATCTCGGCACACTGCAAGCTCTGCCTCCCGGGTTCATGCCATTCTCCTGCCTCAGTCTCCCCAGCAGCTGGGACTACAGGTGCCTGCTGCCACGCCTACTGTTTTTGTGTATTTTAACACAGTTTCACCGTGTTAGCCAGGATGGTCTCGATCTCCTGACCTTGTGATCTGCCCACCTCGGCCTCTCAAAGTGCTGGGATTACAGGTGTGAGCCACCGCGCCCAGCTTGATGTTTTCTTATATGTCTTTCTCACTCAGCAGTGAGTCATGACTACCCTCCCATGTCAGTCAATAGAGGTCTACTCTACCACGTTTCATAGCAGAATTGTTCTGTGTTGTGTGTACATATTTACTGGGATGTATCCAGCCAACCCCATGCCCATGGGACATTTATGCTGTTCCCCATTTGTTGCTGTTAGAAGCAATGGTGCCACGTGTATCCTTGTAGCTACAGCCTTAAATACTCATGGAAATAGCTCTGTAGAATAGATTCCTAAAAGTGGAATTGTTTGGTCAAACGGCATAGGCATTTACCATTTAAATAAATCCTGCCTCACTACCCTCCAAAAACATGCCAACATTACTACCAACAGTGAATGCCTGCCCCTTCTCTACACTGTGGACAAAGAATTACACATCATTTTCATTTTTCACCCAGATCACAACAAAATGCTGTCTCCTGCTTTAATTTGTCATGCTACGATCACTCGTGAGGTGGGAGGTCTCTTGGAGGTCACTCCAGATGATCACTCTCAAGCTCACTGGCTCCTTCTGCTGTTCTTTCTAGAGGCTTCCAGCTGCTGCTTTTATGTTTCCCTTTACGAAGTGCCTGTCTATATTCCTTGCTCATCCATCTTCTGGGAGGTTTGCCTTTTCCTTATTGATTTGCAGAAGTTTTTTATATATTGTGGACACAATCTTTCTGTCTTACACATTGCCAATGGTTTCTCCTAGGGTACCATCTGTCTTCTGTTTCCAACAGGTTCATGAGGTCAGGCAAGTCAACATTCTCCTTTATGGCTTCCGAGTTCTTGCCGTGTTCTCAAGACGCTTCCTGCAAATACAGATACGGATGCAAGTTTCTCATATTTTCAGTTGATACAATAACAATTAAAACACAGTTTAACAAATGTTTAGAATCCTAAGGTTTCTGGAATTGTGTTATTTCCAAAAGCTTGGCCAGTTTGTCCTGACACCATGTATTAAATGACTCCTTTCCTCACTGAACTGAAATGCCCTATGATGACATCCTGAGATTCCAGAGACCCGCGGCTGTTTCTGGACAGGCCAGTTGGCTCCATTGATTTGCTTATGTCTGTTGTTGCATTGGCCCTACAATGCTTTATTTATAGTGGCTTTAAGATTCGTTTTGATGTCATTAGTATTAAAAATGTACCTTGCTGTTTTTGAGCAAAGACATGTCCCCAGTGACCAAGCTTAGCTGTGAATGTTGTCGTGGACATCAGAGGCAGTCCTAGCCGGTGGGGGGCGTGGGCTTTGGGAATCTTTATTTGTTGCTGCTTTTAAAAATGTGGCTCATAAATGCCCCGGCATTTGTTGTCAGAGAGGCCCTTCTGAGTGTCCCTGGCATAGGGCACAGTCTCACAGGGTGGCCACCTTAAGCTGCACCCCCGTTTACAGGTTTGTCAAAGACCCAGTTGCGATGATACACACGCATGCCAGGTGTACACCACAATCCCACGAACTTCCATTTTCAACAGCTTTCCACCCAGAAAAGAGGCCACATGAATTACCCTCCCTTCAGGGACGGCCTAGGGTACTGAAGTCAGCGGTCTGGGCATTACCCGTCATGCAAAATGACAGGCACGTTGCACGGGCAACGGAAAGAACTTTCCATTAAACGCTGAAGAAGACCCGCAGGGTGGACACTTGCCTGCTTTTCCTCCGGTGAGGCGGCTGTGGCTTTTGAGAGCAAATACATCCCTGGGGGTCCCACAGCCAGGAATTACGGACTGGAAACTGGACTTCTCTGATGCAAAAATCTGACCCAAAGCCACCACCATTATCTGAGCACTCAGCATGTGCCAGGAAGCCAGGTCGCCTTCACCGCGACCTGGGCATGGCCTCGTGAGGGCGGCCGCTGCTGTCCCTGTTCTGCAGGTGAGGTGGCTGCAGGAGCTCCTGGGCCTGCCGCAACAAATTCCACCAACCGGGGGGATGAAAGCAGCAGAAACATCTTCTCCTATGGTTCTGGAAGTCAGAAGTTTGTAACCGAGGCGCTGGTGGAGCCAGACTCCAAAGGTGTGAGGGGAGCAGCCTCCTTTCCTCCAGCTGCTGGTGACTCCAGCTGTGTCTCAGCTGGTGGCTGCCCATCACTTCCTTCTTGGCCTCTGTCTTTGCATGGCTTTCTCTACGGTCTCTGTGTCTTCTCCTTTTCTCTCTTCTTTTGGAGACAGGGTTTTGCTCTGTCGCCCAGGCTGGGGTGCAGTGGTGTGATCATAGCTCACTGCAGCCTTGACCACCTGGGCTCCAGTGATCCTCCTCCATCTTCAGCCTTCTGAGTAGTTGAGACTACAGGTGTGTGTCACCTGCCTGGCTAATCTTGAAATTCTTTTTTAAAGAGACAAGGTCTTGCTAAGCTGCCCAGACTGGTTTCAACTCCCGGCTGTAAGTAATCCTCCTGCCTTGGCATCCCAAAGTATTAGGATTACAGGCGTGAGCCACTGCATCCGGCCTTTTTCTGTCTATTATAAGGGCAATTGTCATTGGATTTAGGACTCACCAGGATAATCTAGCATGATCTCATCTTGAGCTCCTTAACTTAATTATATCTGGTAAGGCCTTTTTTCCAAATAAGATCACATTCATGGGTTCCAGGGATCTAATGTAGATTTCTCTCTGCGAGGGCCCCCATTCAATCCACTACAGAAACCAAGGCATGCAGAGGTTATGCAGCTCACACAAGACACTGTGTGTAAAGTGGATGAGCTGGACTCTGATCCTGAACCGAGCATGACTGCCCCATCCCCCACTCCCCACTGCAATGGGCCAAAGGTTCCCAACCTGTGGGGCTTCTGCAAAGGTGTGGCCCAAATGTGGCACTGTCTCTCTGAGCACTGAAACCTGAAGGCCACGACGGCTCCACTGCAGCCTGGGGGTCAGCACCTGCGTGATGGAAGTCCATGCCGGCGGAGGCAAGCCGGGGGACCTGCTCAGGGAATGGAGTTTCTGGGGAGCCTTCCTGGAGGAGGGAGGGGTAGAGGAGAAGAGGGAGGGGGAGGAGATGGCGGCTTCCATCCTTAGCCAGGAACGAACAAACTCAGCACCCGGCAGGCTCAGGCCCAGCACATGACAAACTTCCATCCTTTCCTTTTGAAAATCTGTTCATCTACATCTGAGACCAATTTGCTTGAAACTACAGAATACCTGTCACATTGCTTCCTAGCACGGCAGTCAGATATTTGCTCGGAAAAGTACAGGCAGCTACATACCTCTTGGAGCTGTAATATTTAGATGCGTCATTCTGTGTCTCAAAGCAGCAGCAGCTTCAAATAAATGAGTGTTTTCAGCTTGGCTGGAGTCCTCCCGGCCTGGAGACCGTGCAGGAGCTGGCCGCCTCTCTCCAGGAGCTGAGCAGAACCCACGCTCGGCTTTTTCAACCACACGCTCGAATTCAGTGCCGATGCCCCCGGTGCCATCTTGGGCCCTTGGTGTTAAGTCACACTGAGGCCCAGACGTTGGTTCGTATGTTCGGGAACTGGGTCACGCAGTATCGTGGTCAAAGCATAGAGTCCTCGAGGTAAACCACACACAGTTACTCACGCCCACACCGGAGGGCGGCAGGCAGTGTGCAGCCCTGCCCTAGGAAGGAGCTGGGCTTCCGAGCAGCCCGCACTGGCTGGGTCCTAGGCAAACGCAGCGTGGCGACCGTCGTGGCGTTCTGAAGTCAGGTGCATAAGGAGAGTGTTTTGATGTTGCTCCCTTTTTAAGGAGGTAGGAAGGGATTTAGCAGCTGCTGGAGGATGCAGCGCTCAGGTCTTCTCAGTGTTATCAGGGGACTCCGAATCGCATTGTATTATGCGTAACTTGATTTTCTCATGAAATTATGTATAGTATGTTGCAACAAAATTTTTTGTTGATTTTTTGAGTTGATTTTCCCTTTAAGTGGCTGCAAATTGGCCGTCTACGTTCCCCCACCACCCACGGCTGCTTGTGGGCTGCTGGGCACCGTGAGGACCACCAGCCAGGGACATGGGTGCTGGCATTCCCAGCGTGCAGGCAGGGCAGAGGCAGCAGACATGCTGTGTCCAAAGGCTCCTGCTAGGCCTGCACGTCCACTGGAAGACAGCAGCAGCGTGGCAGGCCACTGTTGCAGAAGCAGATGAGGGCTGCGTGTCCACGGGCTTCACGTCTTCCATGGCTGAAAGCTTCATTTTCACAAAAAGCATTGAGGGATGAGAGGAGAAACACCTCCTGACCTCATCGAGCCGACTCTAGAGGCCGGCATGGTGGCCGCGCTGCCCTGCGGTCCGGGCTTTCCCCATTTCTTCCGGGGCTTCTGAGACCTGCTGACCTTGTCCTCTGCAAGTGTGAGACGGCATCTCTGCTGTGTGCACTGCCATCTCCCTGGCCTTGAAGATCCCCCTGCTCCTGTGCTCCCAGCTCCAGGAAGCCCCACGAGGAGGCCTTGAGTTAGGACAGGCTCCAGTGGGGGCCCAGGAAAGGAAACCAGCACAAATCAGGGGCTGTCACAGTGCCCGGCATCTGGCCCCGGCGTGTCTGCCACCCAGAAGACAAACTGAGAAGGGGCTGGGAAAGTGTGGACCTCAGGCAGCTCTCACAGGGCTGGGACTGGCCCTCGTGGCCAAGGGCTTTAGAGCAACACTCGCCCAGTGCTGCTTTCAGAAAGAAGAGTAAATGAGGCTGGCTGGTGATCTCTGAATTCCCTACCAAACCCACTCTCTGTCCTTCTAAATCCTTCCGCCACTTTCTCAACA